CATTCATAATTTAATAATCCATTTTCTCTCTGCTGGTAAAGTAACGTGTGTTTTTCTAATTTAAGAGGGATCAGTAAGGTAAGGCTACCGTGACGGTTTGATTCAGAAGGAGTTTAATGTATAAGATCCCTGATGTTGAGGAAACCAGAATGTTTATTTCCACTGTGTACAACATGTTATAAGGGACCCACGATCTATCTTTATGCAAGGGATAATGTGCAGCGAGGCGGTCTCTATGGGGAAAAGAACACCTGCATCTAGATCCCTCTGCAGGTGGTACTTTAAGTATATATTGATGCTAATACTTTTGTACTTTTACTTGTAACATTTTGAATGCAGGACTTTTTATTGTACAGGGTTCCTGCAGGTTTAGCCAACTCAAATTTAAGACTTTTTAACACCTTTTTAAGACCACTTTGAATAGAATTTAAGACCTATTTCACGGCAATAAAGTATGAAGGAAAATGTATATAAAGAAGAAATACGTCCCATAATCACTTACAAAGTAAATGTATTCATGTTCAACATAAGAACAATGACTGAACACAACAGCGTAACAGTACAGAACTGTGTTAGCGTGTTAGACAAAAAGTGTGTATGTGTGTGCGCTTGAGTGTGTTTGTGTGTTAGGGCTGTGCAATTAATCATATTTTAATCGCAATTACGATTTTGGCCTGCCACAATTACGAAAACAACATAATCGGAAAAAACGATTATTTTGCTTTGCTAGGTTGTGACAGTGCACCACAACATATTTGATCTAATGAATTTTTTAGTAATGTATCATTTATTTAATTAATTTTTGTATTGGTTTTTCAGTTGAATTATACGTTCAGGGTAATCAACAGTTCAAAAGACACTGTTCAAATTATTATCTGTTTTAAAGTTCAATAAATGGATGTTTTCAAAATCAATGAATAATCATATTTAATAATCGTGATATTAATTATTGACCAACATAATCTTGATTATTGCCATAATCGAGCAGCCCTAGTGTGTGTGTGTGTGTGTGTGTGTGTGTGTGTGTGTGTGTGTGTGTGTGTGTGTGTGTGTGTGTGTGTGTGTGTGTGTGTGTGTGTGAGTGACAAGAGCTATATTCAGACTGAGCTCTGCTGCCTTGGCTACACTATTTCATCGTTGCTGTTGTATGATTGGTGTTTAGCTACGGTATTTAGCGTCTACAGCACCTCCGCTTTTAGGGTTGACGTAGACCCAAACTTCGCCCGGAGGTCCCCCGGTGTTGTTGCGGGAGCTGCTGCACTAGCTAACACTCCACTAGCTAACGCTGCACTAGCTGCTGCTGCACTAGCTAACGCTGCACTAGCTAACGCTACATTAGCTGCTGCTGCACTAGCTAACGCTCCACTAGCTAACGCTGCACTAGCTAACGCTACATTAGCAAAACAAACACTAATTTATTTTGCAAAAGATGCAGCGGGCTTCAAACACGTTCCCTCCACTGGTTTCAACCAAGCACTAAATTAGATGTTTTCCAACCAAATACGGTTGAACTTACACTTCCCCATATTTATTTGTAAGTAGATTCGAAGATAGGCTACATGAGCTGAAGCTTGGTTGCTAGGTTACTAGCTGGGTGTTCTCCAATAAGGGGCCGGGGGAAACAAAGTTAGTGATTACTGGTTCCATGTTGATTTAATTCAATACAAATTGTTGGGGGGAACTGAAAGGCTATTACCGTACTGGTTACTTTGCAGCCCGGACATTTCCCCCAAAACACATTTAGACGCTATCGCAACACAGAAGTACCTTTCAAATCCGATAATTTTTAAGACCTTCTGAATCATATTTAAGGCCTTAAATTCTGATTATCAAATGTAAGACTTTTTAAGACTTGTTAAGACCCCGCGGGAACCCTGATTGTAACTTTTTTTAATTGTCTGAACTTCTCCCACCTCTGACAATAAATCCTGAGTGTTTACCCTGCTCTGAAGGTTATTTTCATTTTACAAATCCTGCACTCAGCTTTGCTTTCTCCAATATCATTGAAAAGCAGCCAGATGCTGCTTCTTTTTTCGGTTTTCGCTCATTTCTTGACTTTTTCCGACGCGCTTGCATTTAAATCCGGCTCCCCGTCTCCCCGTCGCTCTGCACATGCTGTGCCCCCACCCTTCTTTCACATAATGGTATGATCCTAGTGTGTCCTCGCATATGATTGGCCGCATGGTGGCCCAGCTAAATAAAGACCCGCCCCTGCCTGCAAGGATTCTCAGCAAGAGTAGGAGCGGCTGAAGATTCTGCTTTCCCCGACGGGAGTCTGCTCTTCTAACGGCAGCTCGCGATCGGCGTGTTGGAGACCTCTGAATTAAAGTAGCAAGTCACCTCAAGTCAGAAGGCTCAAGTCCAAGTCAAGTCCCGAGTCATTGGTGTTCAAGTCCAAGTCGAGTCGCAAGTCTTTTGTGATGTTGTCAAGTCGAGTCTCAAGTCATAAAATGTGTGACTCGAGTCTGACTCGAGTCCAAGTCATGTGACTCGAGTCCACACCTCTGCTGATTAGACAGCATGATTATTGCGCAGGTGTGCCTTAGGCTGGCCACAATAAAAGGCCACTCTGAAACGTGCATTTTTGCTTTTTTGGGGGGGTCTGGGGGGGTCCTAAAACCAGTCAGTATCTGGTGTGAGGGGTAGGGGTAGGGTTAGGGTTAGGGTTAGGGTTAGGGTAATGTTGTGAATCGAGTGGCCCATGGTGGTGGTGGGGTTATGGTATGGGCAGGCGTATGTTTTGGACGACGAACACAGGCCACTCGATTCACAACATTAGCCTAACCCTAACCCTAACCCTACCCCTCACACCAGATACTGACTGGTTTTCGGACCCCCCCAGCAAAAATGCACGTTTCAGAGTGGCCTTTTATTGTGGCCAGCCTAAGGCACACCTGCGCAATAATCATGCTGTCTAATCAGCATCTTGATATGCCACACCTGTGAGGTGGGATGGATTATCTCGGCAAAGGAGAAGTGCTCACTATCACAGATTTTTTCAGATTTGTGAACAATATTTGAGAGAAATGGTTATTTTGTGAATATAGAAAATGTTTTAGATCTTTGAGTTCATCTCATGAAAAATGGGAGCAAAAACAAAAGTGTTGCGTTTATATTTTTGTTCAGTGTATAAGCTTTATCAAAAAGGAAGGTCTTAAGCGCACTCTTAAAAACGGATAGGGTGTCTGCCGCCCGAACACAAACTGGAAGCTGATTCCACAAATGTGGAGCTTGATAAGAAAAGGCTCTGACTCCCATTGTACTTTTAGAGACTCTAGGAACAACCAACAACCCTGCATTCTTGGAACGCGAAGCCATCCCATTTCAAAGTGCTGTTCGACGCTCGGCGTAACCCTCGGCGCACACTCAAACATCCAATCACAGAGCTTGAGGACTATCACAGGGTTTGTCAAGCGAAGCGGAGAGAATACTTACTTCCGGGTGTAAAATTCTAGGCTACTATGAGCTGCTCCGACCCTCGGTCATGACGGACTCCAACTTGTGTTTATTAATCAAACAAAGAAATAAACACAAGGATAATTATGTGTTATTGTTGAGTAAATAACAGTGTGTGGTTTAGAAAAGAATACAAAATTAGAAGGAAAAAACGATGAAACAATACAGATTTCAGTATTCTGAGCCCCTACTCTCGCCCATAACTGACGGCAACAAAAGTCCTACATTATTCAATTAAAATAAAGAAGTAAAAACAATAAGTGTGGCTTGATATTGAGTAAGAAAAAGGTTGATAAACGAACGCTGTGAGAATGGATCTTCAGGTAGCATTCGCTCGCGATCTCAAGTCGTCTACAACATACGTTTAGGGAGCTATATAGAAGCCTATGGACATCCCGGAAAGTTGAAAATGTACGCTAAGGGCCTCCCCCCCTTGCGTTGGAAAAAGCCGACACGGCCGCCCCCTCTTTCGTTGGAAAAAGCCGACACAGGGGACTTGACATAACGTCAACATAGGCCGACCTGGGAGTGAGGATGTGTTGATTTTTGATATGTATCTTGATTGACTCAGTTCTAATCAGGTGAACACAACTCCTCTGAAAACACCCAAGAGAGGACGACCATCTTCAGGCAACGGGAGCCCAGCACCGACGGTGACATCAAGGAGCCTGTTGAATGCTCAGAAGAGACCATCCTCAGGTGATGGGAATCCACCAAACGGGGCTCCATCCAAGAGATCACAACCTCCACTGGATGTGCCCAAGGACCTAATGGCACATTTTCCAGTGAAGACAAAGAGAGGACGCTGCAGACACTGCAGTAAAGGGTACACAAACACACAATGCACCAAGTGTGACGTCCGTCTCTGCTTTTCTGAGGACAGGAACTGTTTTTGGGACTGCATTGTATCATATTTAATAAATGAGTATTCATAAAAAACATGATGTGTGATTATTATTCATGCTATACTGATATAGGGTTAAGGGCTAAGTAAGCAATCAATCCTGCAAATCAACCCTTAGTTGTTCAATATATTTATTCAGATAATATGAGTAGAAATACAGGAATTCTGCTCCCACCTAAGCCCAACGTTGCAATATTACAACATTTGCCTAAAAACTTACCAAAACGTAAACAATGTGAAAACTCTTTAATTTCTGCTCCATATAGGCTCCCTACAACAACATCTGAAGGGTCAAAAAAATAATAATTATAATGTTTTTCTATATTTGGGCTTTACAGGGTTAACAGCATCTTCTGCCATCTAGTGGCTCAAAATAGCAATTTCTTTAACATATATTAAAGAAAAATACCTGAGAGGAAATACAATAAAATATTATCAGTTACTGCAAAACAGTATTAATGTTTCTCAGATTTTACATATATATATTTTTTTATTGATCCCACGTTGAAATGCAAAATTACATTTGATGAAATATCAAGGTTAAAAAACTGTACTATAAACTACCCTTCAATATTTTAATATTTTAAAATAAACTCTAATAATAAGTGGCGTTGCTTAAAAAAAAACCTTAACATGTCACTCACGTCTCCACAATTTATACTTTAAAAAGTTATTGGACACTTTTTGCTTATAGAATATACAATGGCTGCTGTTAACAACAACCTAATATTATCAGGAGATGAAACAAATGTACATACACATTTCAAGTTTAAATGAAAAGCCTGCACCTGTAAAATACAATGTAAAATATAAAAATAACTCCAGTAAATACAGCTATATGACTAAATATGAGAGTTGATTTGATTAATTAAGGCCCATGGCTTCTTCACAGTTTGCATCTCCGTTTGTCCTCGTGGCACTTCCGGGCTGGACTCGGGTTTCTGAGGTTTTGAGAGGAGGAAGCCTTCTTCAGGGTGTCCACCAGGCCCCCGGGCCGAGGGGACGGCTGCTTGTTGGCCATAGGACGAGTGTTTGCATAGATTGGATCTTCTGCTGTATCAAGAGCAAAAACAGGGTGAATTACATTACAACTTTTTAAATAAAACTATATCTCAGACATCTACATAACAGAATTGTATAAGTTAGAAGTTATTCTGTCGAAAACACAATTGACCCCCTGACGGTAAGAGCTTAGATTATAGACATGTCATTATATAGACAACGGTGTCCTCAAATCAAATATCCATCAAATATGTCATTTTTCTGGTTATCAGTATTACTCTATTTATATTTACAAATGTTGCATCATTTTATGTAGTCGGGTGCCCAGCCTTAAACATCATCTTTTGGTTTAATTGTAAAGTGTCTGTTTAACTTTTGTTGTTTTTAACACTAAAACTGTGTCCGTGTACCTTTCAAGTCCCCCTGTTCACCTGCAACTTGAAGTAAAAATAATGTAAAATTCACAAAGAAATACAATCTTATTACACAGGTATTGTGTTAATTAGACCATTTACTTGTTCTGTAGAAAAGCTTCTGTCCTGCTTGTATAATTGCTTATAACAAAAACAGAAATTGGAGGTGTATGTGTGAAGTCACCTCTGTCCTATTCTTACTGCTCCATCCTGTGTGGCCAAACAGCAAACTTAGGTCTACTGACACATCTTTAATACCTTTGTCATGCACCACCATTAAACAAAAACATAAAAGCTCTTTGTTCGTGGTTAAGCAACTTTTGCTGATGAGTTACACCTGTAAGCAACATAATGTTGTGTCACATGTTGTAAAAAATATGATAAATGTTACAAGGTAATTGAATCTCAAAGTCGGCCGCTCCCAATTATTTTGTCATCATGACACTTTCAATCAAATTATAAAAATGTTAAATGTCGTAAATAGTGGATGAAATATTTTGCATAAGAATAAACAAAATAAGAAAAGCAGTGTTATTTTTTTTTTGATTACCAATTATTCAGTGCATTACTGGTTCATTTAAAAATATGTATACATTTGACTTATGTCTGAAAGCAACAACCAAAGTATACTGAAAAAAGGGAACACAACTCTATGCATTAACTGTTATCTGCCCACCAATTCATTTAATCATTGGAATAAAGAGATAATGCTGATTTTCAGGTTAATATCTGTATTTAGTGACTCTACTGTGACAAGTGAACCTGCTTTAATGTTCAAAAAGGTATTTATTTATTTTTCTCATACTGCCTGTGCTGCAGCAACTCTTTTCACCCTCTGTCTAAAACCAGAGCCCACTCTGCTCTGATTGGTTAGCTGGCTGGCTCTGTTGTGATTTGTTTTGGGGTACTAGCCAATAAAAGTGTGAGTGTTCCATAGTGATGTCATTATGTTATGGAAGCAAACAAATGGGAGATAACTTTACATGCACAAAAACCTATACAACACACAACAGGAAAGATGAAACCAGACCTTTAAGTATAGTTTAAAATGTGTATAAACATGTATGTCCTTGCTTTCCAGCGTCCAGGTTGACATACCACACCCAATGGTATTCGATTTACAATGAACAGAAAGAAACACTCAACTAAAATGTATTCAAACAATGAATCAATTATTCATTTGAGGATTGAGATGAGAAACCGTGGGTGTCTTCAGTTCACACTCTTGCTTTAGAAATGAGGACTTCAATTAAAAAGAAACAAAAACATTTAAATATAAATTCTTTGGTAAAAATCTAAATCTAAAAGTTGTTGTTTGTGAGTTATAATTCTCAGGTAAATTGTCTACATGGCTAAGCAGCAAAAGTGGTGGGTGTGCAGTGTGGGGATTTCTCAGCTTTGCTTGCGTCTCTTCTGCTTGTATGTATGGAGATATTTTCTCAGTATGGGTCAGTCAGCTGTGACAAAATCTCACTTTTTTCTTCGCTCACTGAGCTTTGCAAAATGACTTCTTGCCTTTCAAGGCTGTGGTCTGTTGTTCTCAAAACTAAAACATGTGTGCATGTTAAACCACACAGCGTTAGGCATGCTGTCTCGTTTGTCCTACATTGATGGTTTAGACTTTAGACTGTCACACTGTGCAGTAAAACCACACAAACCACTTGCTTACTCAGTTTGTATCCACCGGCCATGAGATACAACTACCTGCTGTGACGTGAAGAGTGCTTCCTCTCTGTCTTTTGTTCTCTCACTCAGACATAAGCTAAGACATTTCTCTTGTTAAACAATCAAATCAATATTCATTTAGCATCTTTGAAGTTAGTGATGTTGCCTGTGAGAGCGTTTATTTCTCTGTTCTTGACCTCTTTTGTCAGAGCAGCCATCATCACGTGCAGCCTCTACTGTCTACAGATCTTCTTACAATCTGTAGATGTTAGCTGGGTCTTGATCACAAAAAACTAAGACCAGTGTAATATAAATGTATACATTTCAAAGAAAATACGTTGGATGTCTGTAAATAGGCCAATCTATGTGGCTGTAGCACACCGACATGAGTCATATTTAGTTCCGTGAAACAAGCTGCATGCGAGATCTGCTTGACTTCAACATTCACTTGTAATGTATGTGTAGTACAGATGATTGCCTTATGTGTCTACAGGCTAGGCTGTATGGAGCATGTAAACTACATTATTATTGATCGTTGAATTTTTTAATTAATGTCTCACACAACCATTGACTTGTAATATTCAAGCCTGGGGAGAAATGTGATCTGAATGCTGTGGTGGTAAGGAATGTTTCTAAATAATGTTTTTCTACGAGCTCTTTTTGGACCAAATTGTAAGAACTTTGACTAATGACGTTACAGTGAGGGGTGTGTCCGGTAACTATCTCGGGACTGTCTGGGGGGCGTCCCAAAGCAGGGAAGTTTGCAACACATGCATCAGACATTTGTGTTTTTAATTATTTTTTAGTATTTATTTATTTAAGAAATAGACAATGCACTAAATTAACATGAGCACTTGAGTCCATCATGTAAATGTGCCAGATAAAGTCACAGCACGTTCCCTGGCAGGTTGATGACATTAAAAGAAAGCGAGTGAAGAGTGAACTGAAACATAAGAAGAGTGAAGAACTAAAAAAACACATGAGCACCATTTTAGCACTCAAATAAAGAAGAAAACACACGAGCATAAGCATAGGCAAAAACACATCAGGACAATAAAAACATAAAAGGACAATTGCAGCACATTTTAAATCACATGGGCCCTTTTATACAAACCCAATAACATACAGATACATAAGCTAAGATGTAAGCTAATAGGCACAGACTATTAAAAACAATGATATAACCCTACTCAGTAATGACAGCATGTTTGATTGTTCAGTAGCCAGTGTTTGACAGATGTGGAGAAAGACTGGAGAGATATTATGTTCTAAAGTTATGTGGGTATGTGAGCTGCCGGACAGGAAAGGCTAACTGGGCAAAGATACTTATTCTGAAAGGTGTTTACATGATATTAGTATTACAATAGTAGCAGCTCTACTTTTTCATACACATGTGATCATGCTTACTCAGTTTGAGAAAACATATTCACTTAAATGAATTAAAGCCTGTCAATAAATCTTCCCATTGCACGAGGCACTTAGTGAAATTGAGTTTGACACGACTGGTACATGATCATATATTAAAAAAGAAGATGGGTACCTCTGCTTCTGCGATGTCTTCTTCTCAGCACCAAACACACAACCAGCAGGACGATCAGGATGAAAGTAGAAACCCCCAAAGAGATCCACATCCACAGGTCGAGGAGAGGGAGGCTCTCTGTGGGGGACATGGTGGCTGCAAGAGAAAAACGTTGTTATGATATGTGATCACAATCATGTCAATGTATCTACTGTATAAGTAAGTCGATTTACACACACAATGAATCTTAATAATAGAGTGTTAATGTATTTCTGCCCACAGCTAAGATTTGTTCTCTTTTCTACGCACAAATCTCAGGAACGTTTTTTCCCTCATACTTTAGTCTTAAGGCTGGGATTATATTATCTATTTAAATCTCATTATGTTTTAGAATAAAAGAGAAAAAAAATAGCTTATAGACTAAATAAAGTATGATGTATCTGCAAACGCTTTAAATGTCAAAGACATGCTCACATATATCCGTGTAAAACTATACTTTATGTGGATGATAATTAATAATCACAATGGAAGTGTTTTCGCTTCAATAGTAAAAAAAAAGTATGATTTTTCACGTCATCTAAAATGTTGTACGTCTAGATACTTAAAGGTCCCATGTCATGCTTTTCCGGTTATTAACCGTCCCCTTGTGTGTTACAGTATGTCGTTTTTTGTATGCATGTAAACGGTCTGCAGAGTCACAAACCCTCAAAGTACACCCTCTAGCGAGTAAAACTCTAACACAGAAAATACCTGTCTGTGCTGCCCCAGAACGCCTCGTTGGAGATTTTTCTTTTTCCATTGTTTTCTTCTTATAGTGTAGTAAGTACAGTGACGTATTGGGTATAGTGACGTAACGACTTCCTCACACACACACACTCAATCTTTTCTCAGCTGCAGCTCCGCAGATTTCTCAGCCTGAGACAGCGAGACGAGGCGGAGCTCGGCCTGGGCTCGGCCTGGAGCAGGAGCTCCAACATGCCGTTTAGGACAGAGAGTGAATACACATACTAGATGCTGTATGAGAAAACCAATGTGAGATTGGAAAATTGCACAATATAAATCTATTTTAGTATACCTCAACAATGGAATTATGATCAGTAGAAATGGCCATGACATGGGACTTTTAAGACCTGAGCAAATGTGGCACTTTTACCTATCATACTCAATATAGTGTTTGGGCAAAAATGGCTTTCAAGTCATTTTCACATTGGCCAATGTACAAGAATAAGGCTGAGATAACTTCCTTTAGAGAGAAATCACTTAAAGCATGGAAAGGGTTGAGTTTTAAAGTGTGCTGTGAACCACAACATAACACTTGTGAGCGCAGAAGTTCACACATCACGGAATACAGTTGATCTCACTTCAGGTGTCATGACCCACTCGTCAAACTGACACACTCGTCAGTTCAGAGCAATGGGCACAACAACAATAGATGTTTACCAGAATAAAAGCTCAAGCTTCGCAGGGCACAGAAAAGCTGCATTTTTCTTCATCAGCGCTATAGGTAAATACAGGGTTGGTTAGTAACAGATGACCTGGAAACAAATTAAAAGTGACTTAAATCAGCCTGGATTGCATTATTGTTACAATGTCAAGAATCATTTAATTATATTTTAATCTTTGAATTATGGAAAATTAGTTTATTTTGCATTGAATTTGCTTTATTTAATGAGGAAAACAATTATATTTGGAGAACTAAGCTGTAGTGGATGCCTCAATTGTTTTAATTAATTTGTAGTCTTTTATTTTGAAGTCGTATAAAATAATTTAGATTAGATAAAATGTATACAATATATATAATAATATGTTTACGCAACTACATTTTGTACGTTTTACTCCACTACATGTATTTAACGTCTTTTGTTACTAGCTTATTTGCAGATTTAGATTATTAATACATAATGTACATTAAATAATCATTATGATTATTATTATATGTTAAGCAACCCAGTATTATATAAATATTATTTGAAATACTTAGTTGTGTTTAGACTTAGTTTTTTATAAAGTGCAGTATTTTTTATGTATTTCTTTTAAAGTTATAAGAAATGTTTTAGATGAGATTCAAACCTTTTTTTATAATTCAATCTAAAGACCGTTACTAATTACAAAAATTGCAAACTTATATTCAGGAACCAACTGTAATTTGACAAAACCCTACGTACACACACCCATGCACACACACATACATACATATGGACATACACACAAACAAACCTTGTTTACCCGTCAGTTTGGGCAGTGACGGGTATGTTGTGAGTTCCTTGCTCTCCACTGTCACAGAGAAAAGGAAATTATACTTTTATGTAGTCAAAGCAAGCCAGAACATTTAAAGAAATCCCTTAACTTTAGCTTTATGGCAACACTTTTCTTTATGTACCTCTATTTAGCATTTATAAGCAGCACGTTAACATGTTATAAATGGTTTATAAGACACTATAATGTCGTTATTATTAACAACTACTCCTGCTGTGGGCACCAATATAATAATAATACGGCACCTAGTCTGGTGTATGAACCGATAATGAAAAACAGTTCATTTAAAATGGGATGAGAAGATGTTATAATTGCACATTTCCTTATACTGTATGTGTGCAACAATGGTCATTATAGTCTGTTATGAATAATTCATTACATTTTTGTCTACGGTTTATACATGTTGAATAGGCGGACTTAAAGTAGAGTGTCACGAGCTTTATCATTAACAAGTTATACTTACTAATAACTAATTCTGTTCCGTTGCTTTTACAAAGTTCCAAAACGGGAATCTCAACGATGAGAATGCAAAAGTACCATCCGGTGTCATTTGTTGTTGCATTTATCAGAGTATATTTGTTTTTTTCAATGTTCTGCTTTGTTTTGTTGGACACCACGGTGGAGGAATTTGCAGAATTGTTAGAGATGTCATTTGATAATTTGCGTACGCCATCCCATGAAGGTCCAGAGGGATTAAATAACCAGTTCACCCGATATCTATCGAGTTTCCCTATCCTCACATGGCAGAGGGAATCCACAGGACAGAGGAAAGTCACAGAGGAACCAGCAGGAACTTCCGCTCTTCTTTGTGTTTGAATAATCACATCTTTACCTGATACCACCAGAGCTGCCACTGTAAAGAAAGATAGATAGATAGATACACCTTTACCAAATGCTACATTGAAGTGATGTACATGCAATTGATCAATAATTATAATACAATATCTCAAATATATCTGCTGCTTAAATGGGCCATTCTGCATAATGAGTACTTTTACTTTTGGTACTTTGGTACTTATCAAGTATATTTTGATGCTAGTACTTTTTTGTTTTACTTCAGTACAATTTTGAATGCACGACTAGACTTGTAACTGAGTATTTTTACATGATTTAAGTAAACAATCTAAGTACTTCTTTCAACTCTGATAGATACATGAACAGATCTGAGACATTTTTAAATGTAAACATTTGTAAACTTCATTTAAAGAACATGTATCTCTTTTCCAGTTAGCCAGTTACAAAGAAACTATACAAACAAATGTGTCTAGCTCGGCACACATGACATTTCTGTCTGTTTATTCATTAATCTCTCAGCCTCATGTTATGTATTCATAGTTATTTGTCTGTGTATTGCCTGTTAATACTAGTTGAACATTACATTTTTATATTTGTATGTATTTTTTATTTATTTATTTGTTATATGTTTCTAGTTATTGTGCTTTTTATTATGTTTTTAATTCTCCCATTGTGTTATTTAATATTGTAGTTACTGCCTGTACAGCACTTTGGTCAACTGAAGGTTGTTTTAAATGTGCTATATAAATAAATAAAGATTGAGATTGAGATTGTTATCTTGACTCTTACCTGTCAGCAACACCAGAGTCGTCCGTTTCAGCCACATTTCCATTTTGTTATGTGTGAGGTGGTCTTCCTCTTCTCAGTCTCATCCTGTCTCTGCTGTCTGCCTGTGAGCACATCAGACAGCGCTGAACAAAAAAACCTGTGTGTGGGTGGGAGGAGGCGTCTTTACTTTGAGAACAAGTTACTGACTGACGAGGGGACTGTCTGCTGTGGAGGTTAAAGAAACAACAAGAAATGGAAAGTAGTGTCGGCTTTTAAAAAGAAAAGAGACGCCATAACAGTACTGCACTGTTGTTTCATTTGCGTTGAATTAAAGTAGACTACTTTAAAGTTCTGCTGCTTCCTCATTGTTAAATAAGCACATGCTGCTGAAGGCACACTTCTGCTTACTGGGAACAGACAGTGAATCTCTCAAATGGGATGCATATACAAGTGCCAACTTGTATAATGAAAAGAAAAGCTGGGCACAAATCGATGATACAAGGGGTTTCTGAAACCCTTGTGGGTTTTGGGGCAAAGGTGCTAAACACATTTCCCCACATTGGACTGAAAGTAAAGGAGCGCTTGGCTTCCTGTGACAAGACACAACTGAGAACCAATTACCAACCACAAACTACACGATAAAATGCAGCTGAGACAAAGAAAGATGAGAGAACAATGTGACCTGTGTTTTACTGGCGGTTGTGTTGGAGAGAAACTCTTTAGGATTGTAGCCTTTGCAGACCATTTACATGGATAAACACCTACACTACAGGAAAAGGAAAACCCCCCAAAAGCTAAATAAGGCCTCTTTAAAAAACGGTCCTTAGTAGCACTGATTTTCTTTCTTTTAGTATCAATTTTTGTATGTAGTTTTTTCGACTGTTGCAGTAGTTATTTTCTTATATATTATTTAAAATCTTAAACAGGATAGATTAATAAGCACTTTATTTGGAACAATAAAGTACCTATCTATTCTGTCTATTTGCATGCACAAATCCACATTCCCTCTATGTGAAAACTAACTTGACAATAAACCTGATTGTGATTTCTGAATGATGCAACATAAGATATTAAGTGTCTGTGTTTTATCTTTTCATCATGACGGTGAAGTGAAGCCACAAGAACAAACATCTCGAGTGTACAGTGTATAACAGGGTGTATAACTTCTGAAACCTCAACTTCATTTCCACACAGAAAGTAGGTCCTGCCTAAAGACAGATGTAAAGACAGAAACAAGTTCAAATCACTCGTTTAGTGGAACAGCAGCTTAGGGTTGAGTGAGCTCTGTGGCTTGAATATACACCTTTATACGTTGAAATTGAAAACAAAATTACCATATTTCCACTATTAAACAATTGGTAAAATAGGACAAACAGAGGTTGGTGTAATCTCTTTGTGTGTATCTTTTTTGTTGAACTTGTTTTATTTTGTTTGCAAATCATTACAGCCTTGTCTTAAATGCTGTTAGTGTTTTACTTTATTTAAAATAATAAAAGAATCCTACAAACTGTTATCTTGTTTACTTTTTTGGCAAGTCACCTAGGATTCATTCAATTTACAGCAATAATCTTCAAATCTAGTAAGAAATGCACTTTATATTCAAGAGTTGAATTCATATTGCCATTACAAAATGTAAGGTTAGACAGTTTGCTGCAGACTGACAGAGAGAACGTAGGCATTGTAGTCATGGCCGTACCCACCATTGAGGTCACCGAGGTCCGGACCTCTGTCATTTTAATAAATATAATAAAACTCGTGAAATAACTGCACATAATTAACAGGGTTCTTTGTAGTGCTTTCATTTACTGGCGGTGGGTGCAATGCACAACTAAGTAGCCTACATTAAAGCAAACAGAAGAAGACAACATCAATTTATCAACAAACAGCCGCAGTCCCGACTTGTACCCATGGATCTATAATAAGGGAGGGTGAAATAAATACTTTACATTAAGTTATTTTCGTGTTGTCATAAGGATGCAATGCTTTTGAAAGGCAAAGAATAATAATAATAAAATAAAATAAATGTATATATGCTGAGCCCAGAGTAAAATGCTTGTGTGTGCACAAACTACAGGTGAACAGCAAACCCCAGTGTGATTTTGGTGGCAGTACGACCTCCCTGGACAAAGTTATACTGGGGGTGCCAAATCCGGCAGCACCAACACCTGGTCTACCACATGTGGAAGCCCCTCTTTAGTTTGTCTCCTGCTGAGCCTGAGTAAAATGCTTTTGTGTGCACAAAAAAATGTGGGTGGTTAACATCAAAGCTTCTTTTAAAGTAATGTTAATATTTTTTTTTGGAATAGTGTTTGCTAAAATAAAAATCGTAGACGGGTTATGTAAATTGTATTGTATTATTTTATGATATATATGATCAAATTAATAAAACATATACATTTATTAATATATATTTGAATTATTTGATTCATATTTATATAGACAATTGTTTGGGATTCTCACCAATTGGGCAAATCAATTTAGGGTCTGCATTATTATCACATGTTATGTGTCAATCAACACGTTTCATTTGTTCTCAGGGTTATACGTAAGTCAGGTTTATAAGTCATTTTCAAAAAAAAATCAGAAAATAACTGTTGTATCAAAGTATATTATATATTATTGAAAGGCTGAATGGTTGATTCATTAATTACTAATATTTTTAATCAGAATAATTTGTGTTAATAATATGCCTAAAACGTATACAGGACAAAAAAAAACCCTCTTTATTGTAAATTATTACTATAATTATTTGTATTTCTTCTTATGTGTAATGCCTTGTTTTTATGCTGCTGAAACGCAAACATTTCCCAATATGGGATCAATAAAGTACATCTTATCTAATCTTATTATCTTAAATTCACTTTTTCTCCGACAGTACCTGAAGGCAGCAGCGGCGCTGCAGAAACACCAGCACCCAGAATCCTCTGCTGACGCATGCGCACTACGCACTCTGGCCCGAAGGCGTTGGTGGTTGGTGTCCGTCCGAGGATGCGTTGCACTCCGGCAGCATCAGTACCAGCTCCGCCGTGCATATAAAGCTAAATACCCGGAGGACGGAGCAGAAATTCGGGCTGTGTTTGTGGCTACAACCGCCCCGGAGCTTCGGAGATGGGGGACCAGAAGGTGAGCCGGATCCGGAGGAACAGGTGTCTCTGATGGGGGAAGCCGATTGAGGCAGGGCGTAGTGTACAAAGGAAGGAGGGGGACAAGCTGCAGGATTTGGGAGTTTGTGGATGCGGTACGGACTCGTATTGCACGGTGGTGTTTTGTATTTGAATCAATGTTGGTGTGGCTGCAGGGGAGGTTTGTCTTGAGCATGCCGAGATGTGTTATCGGTGTATCGGCGTTATAGTCACGGTCGTGGGGGCCTTGGCACATCTCCTCTCGCATCAACAAACATTACACAGCCCTTCAGTATGAATGGGCTTGTTCACTGTGTGCCAGATGAAACATAACCGGAAGTGGTAACATATCAGTTGTGTGATCCGTGTAATATGTTACCCAGTGTAATATGTTACCCAGTGTATGTCCAGTGCTTTGAAGTGGGCTGTTCAATGGGTTCAGATGCATTATTCCATTATTAATGCGCATCCTTCCGCCCGTGAAGTGTCCTCCCGCCCTGTGACACTATAGATCCCTCTCTGATCCCATCCAATCTGATCAACACAATGTTAATCATGACTAAAAGGGAGCTCAACGCCTAAACCTCCATGAGTCCTCTTAAACCAAACACTGATTAGCATAACCTCCACCACAGAGGATACACTCAAGTTTGGTTAGATAATAAATTAGTATTCATGCTTAAGCAGTCTTTGAAGATGATAATATTACTGTACAGATTTTCCAGTCTCAAAGGATAACATTTCCTTTTTTTCTCAGAAATAACTAGTGTTGAATGTTATATATAGCTTGCTGCTATCTCCAATCTTTTGCAATGTACTAATGTTAATCTGGCTTCTTTCAACAATAGCACACTAGTCAGTCACTTTTATATTATGTGCAATTCACTCATTTAACATGCAGTTATTTTCTTATATGTTCAACTTACCTTTCTAAAATGCTACTTATTTTTGTCCATGGGTGCATACTTATTTGTTTTGATTTCAATTTTTGTGTGCAAGCGTCTATATTTAATATGATCAGTCTACTCTTTTTATTTATGCCCTTTATCTGCACTGCCACCTTTGCTGTAACGCTGTAAATTTCCCCGCAGTGATTTTGATATTATATATTCTATAACATAAATATATTTTGTCTTCTCTTTAGGAATCTCTGCGTAAGATCACCCACACGCTGGCCATGAAGAACGAGGAGATTTCAAACTTTGTCTGCACCCTCAAACAGAACCTCGAGAACTTGGAGGTAAAATCAAATCACACATAGCTGGACTAGAATTGAATCCTGTCTGCACACAGTTTAGTAGTTAGTTCATTCATTTAGCTACAGAAAAGCTTACTTCCTGTATTCACTGTTTTCTGTTTGCGGCTCCAGGGGAACACGAACAGGGTCCAGGAGGATCTGGAGTCTGAGTTCACCGCCCTGAATGCTGTTCTGGTCGAGATGAAGGAAAACATGGTGACTCGCATCAAACAGGAGAGAGCCAGCCGCACATACGAGCTACAGGTAGATGCTGTTTCATTTGCATATATTTAATTGCAATTCGTTTTTATTTAATAAGAAAATGAAGGGTTGTGAGAAGCATATTCTGTTGTCGGCATTTATTGTCATAAGCAGATAGCAAAAAAGTACATATTTTCAACACCAGAGTAATGATGTTACAGATGTACAGAAAATGGCAAACTGTTTTGATTGTAGATGACTGTTACAGTAAGTGTTCAGCCCCTCAAATAGGTTGATTTCCTGCTTTTCTCTGTTATTTTTAACGTAATATATTTTGGATTTGAAAGACTAAACAAGACATTACCTTGGACTTAGTAGTAGTAGTAGCCTCTTGGTTAACTCTGGCACGTTTACAGAAATGTTCATTAATGTGCACTGTCCCTGTCCTTTGAGTAACTTTGAAAGACTACGGTACGTTAATCGATAATAAAAGTAATCTTTAGTTGTTGCTTTTTTTCAAAATGACTGAAAACACACTTTTAAACAAAGGAAATAAAACACAAGGAAAGGTAAATATATTCTTCAGATAACATAATTAGTTTTTACATTATCTGCAGAAATATTTTATTATCAAAATAAAATAAATGTAATCAAATTGGCTCATGACCTCACATAGCTTATTTAAAAATTGAATTGATTTTCATAGTGGTTGAGTAGAGCTCTGTGGCTTGAAGACAGCATATTTTCCAGCTCACATGCAGTGAAAACAAGGTGTTATTATTAGTTTCCTTTAAGTCAAAATACCATTGGCTGTATAATGACCTACAAAGTGTTAGGTTACTCTGCAGCCTCAGGACTCAGCCATGACTCTCAAATGATGCAGCGAACACAGAAGTCCCTTTTATACGAAAGACAAACATGTAAGAGTTAGAGGATGTTCTCTGTTTGACTGTGGGTTGGGGATGTTTTCAGAGTCAGCTGAGCGCCTGCTCCAAAGCCCTGGAGAGTTCAGAGGAGCTGCTGGAGCTGGCCAATCAGACGCTCTGCTCCTCCGAGACGGACGGTTTCAATCAGGTAACTGACTCACCGTGATGTCACTCCGTCCCATCTGCTCCCTGTTATAACCACATTGCTAATGCTTTGGATAAAAGCGTCTAACAAGTGACATGTAATGTAATGACTGATGATGCTAGGGCTGTACCAAATGGCCATTATGTACATTTAAAGCTTTTATGGAAGGTTTCGTATATCTCTCGTCATATTTTATGATGTCGTCACCCTAAAAAATCATTAAACGTAATCCTCAATTTGAAAAAATCAAGTCAGAGTAAGTTCGTTTTTTTAATCAAATCAAATTTCTTTAATGAATTTTCCTCATTATTGTGTGCCTCCCTTTGTGTGCAAGCAGGAGAACCAACTGTCTTCTACTGCAGGGACAATTATGCTTTTGAAAGGCTAAGTGCCAGCAAATATGTTTTGAAGTAGAATATCTGTTTGGATAAAAAACATGAACTAAGGAAATGTTTACACCTTTTAAAAAAAAAATACATTCCGACTTCTTAAATTATCGTCCCGATTAGAGAAGTCAGAAACATTCCTACGCAATCTAATTCTACAAATAATATAATACTAATATACTATAATATAAGTGTTGCCTAAACTTTATCTGAAACTGTGCAGAAAATACAGGGTTTAGGCAGAATTTGAACATTTGCATTAAGAATAAAGATTAAAAGCTTTTAACGATACGGTACAGCTTTCACTGGTGTCCATGTATACTTTTAAATCTGTCTTTTCAGCGGTTTTATACTAACAGTTATATTAACAAAGCCACCAGAGACTTATGTTTAATGACAACATGATGGGCTACAACTCAGTTCTCTCTTCGCTCGTATCTCTCTTCTCTTTTTCCTGCCCCTCTCTGCTTCACCTCTCCAGGCGGCCAAAGACATTAAGGATAGGTATAGTACTCAGTCATATATTTCCCTTTGTCATAGCCTCCTGTAGCCTTCTCATGATGTAGCATGCATGCATTCAGGACATGTAGCCACCACACCCTTTCTGTGGAAGCATAGCAGAAGAGAGCCTTTTGTGTTTGTGTTTCCCACTGTCCTCTCCAGTGTGTACCATCCTGTGTCAGCTCCCCTCCCCTCCCTGGATGATTTCCTTCTCTAGCTTAGTTTTTAAATGTGTATTAGGTTTATTAGCTCAGTGGTAATACCAGAAGTCTAGTTAGAAGCCTTTTCTTATATTAGAAACACCCGTCCTTTCCCTCTGATCTTGTAAAATAACAGACAACGCTTGTTTCCACTCCTTGTGTTTGTGCGTTTTTGTGTGTCTCTCTTTGTCCGCAGCGTCACAATGGCTCCAGCCTTTCGCCTCTCCCTGAAGGCTAAAGCCAGCGACAACATGAGTCACTTGATGGTGGATTTCAGCCAGGAGAGGGAGGTGTTGCAGGGACTCAAGTTTCTCCCAGGTTTGCTCTGCTTATAATACAAATAAATACAAACGCTGACCACAGCAGTGGTGTAATGTAACTAAGTACATTCACACAAGTCTGTCCATTTTATGCTGCTTTAAATTTCATCCAATTAATTTCAGAATGAACTATTATATGTTTTGCTCCACTGCAAGTACTAAACAACTGTAGTTACTTTACTTATTAGCTTAACAAATAACGCAAATCAAGTTATTTGTCTTTATTAAGTCCGACCCCTTATTTTCCCAGAACATGGGAAAAATCCCCCATTGCAGTATAGACATTTTCCATGCATATACATTTGTTTCAGTTACATTTTCTAAAATCAAGACCCCCTTTTTTAACTTTTGCACAGCGATACACCTCACTTTTTCTCTTTGTTGGACAGGTTTATTTCATTTTCAAACCTTTATTTATCCAGGTGTATCCCATTGAGATCATTGATCTCTTTTTCAAGGGAGACCTGCTCAAGTAGGTTCCACATGAAACATAAAAAACATAAACAGAACAACAAAAGGACATCATACAGCATCGAAATAAATTTGAAATAAAAACAACTATTCGTATTGCAATAACATATTATCCCACTTGTTTTGATATAATATGGTTTAACGGAGGGTTAAAGCTATAAATCTCTTTATGTGATTGATGCATTTGCATATCTAAAGATTGAAATGCCCATCAGTAAATTGGTCTAAGTTAGCTCCACCTCGATTATTTGCAATAGTAAAATGCTGTTTTACTGTATACACATGTATACATTAGTAAAACTAATCTGCACCTATATAAATCACAATAAAATGGCCAATTCTACATTACTTTAACATTATATACACAATGATAATTTTCACATTTGTAGACCTATCAGTAGAAGTAAATCAGTTGCAACCACACAGACCTCTTTGCCTTGGTTTAACACAGTCTGCATTTTTTTTAAACCATGCTCTGTAACAGGTCTAATCATAGCAAAACAAAAGCTCTATACAAACAAGCCTTGTGTTGAATTGGTTTCAATGTGCACTGCTCATTATGTTATGACAGTCAAATGGGTTTATTGAATGTGAAAGGGGTCGCTTACAGCACTGTAACCACAGAGGGAAGTCGCCTACCTCTGCAGCTGTATGAGAATTCTTAACCTTTTTCTGCTGTGGTTTTTACATCTCACGTATACATTGTAGGGCTTGGTCTCATTGTTAGCAGCTTTTTCGGCAGGGAAAAACTCTCTGATACAGCTAATGCACGCACATGTTGAGCACCAAACAGTCTGCTGCCGCTAGCTGGTGACGAAAGTTAAACAGGGAACAAGATGACAGCAACGCAGACAAAAAAAAAGTTTAATTAAATTATTTCACACATTAGCTATTTCTGTAGTGAAATACCATTGAAAGTGTAGCTCTAAGTATAACAATTACAAGAAATTAAAATAAGGATCTTTGGTTTTATACCCTATATGAAATATTTCTAATGCAAAGAAAAAGGGTTGTTCTTCATGAAACTTCAGAATATTTAATTTGAGGAACATTTGGAGATATAGGAAATTAATATTTTTCCCTAAGACGCCCAATTTTTTTCTTAACATTTTCTTTTTTATTATTATCTCCAATGAAAAACACCCCATATTCTAGTTGTGTGTTCTATGACCAAATTGTAAGAAGGATTTAACTTATGATGGCTGTGTGAACTGCTGCATCATAAGTGGATTTTCAATACATCCTGTAAAACACAAACTGTCTCCTCTCTGCAGTTCCTGGCACTCCAGAGATCCAGGTGTCAGAGTGCCAGGTGTGTGACAACACGGTGACGGTAGTTTGGACTCTACCGGAGCCCGACAGCAAGATCGAACACTACATCCTGGAGCACCGGCGCACAAACCACGAAGGGCCGCCGCGCCTCAGAGAGGATTACCCCTGGATGGTGGTGGAGGGGATCCGGGAGATGGAGCACTCACTCATCGGTAGGAGGAGGACTGTGGAGGGGTTTGTTGACTGTACTTTGATGACGCTGACTCACTGAGGAAACTTGTGTTTTTGTTTTTCTCAGGTCTGCGCTTTGACACCCGCTACTTGACGTTCAGAGTGAGAGCGTGTAACAAGGCCGTGGCGGGAGAGTTTTCTGAGCTGGTCACACTGGAAACCCACGGTGAGAATTTGCTGATGTTTTATGTTAGGCTAAATCCAAAAATAATGTTCTTCCTCAGTCTAGTTTATAATAATATGCAGATTTTTTCTTGGCTGTCTTGTCATAACTCATAATAACACTCAATTTACACTGGATACAGTTTATTTTCAACTGTATTTTCAATTATTTAACACATGTATTGGTATCTTTCTTGTTAGTTATCAATTGAGAGACTCTTGACAGCTTAGAAGTGTTTAAGTTTAAAGTTTGTTTGTTTTATTATCACATTTGCAATGTCTTACTATCTTTTGGTTATGTTGTTTTTGTTGAAAGTTTTTGTGCCTCTTATTGTAGTTTTGTTGTTGAGGAGCCCTTGAAAACAAAATGGTGCATCTCGTAAGGTTATCCCTGATCCTTTTTCAATTTGCAGCCTTCAACTTCAAACTGGACTCTGGTTCGGCGCACCAGAACCTGAAGGTGGAGGACCTGAGTGTGGAGTGGGACAGCTGTGGAGGAAAGATCCAGGACATCCGCAAGGAAAAGACCCGAACCAACTCCCCGATGCACTCTCCTGCCAGGTGTGTACCAGTGTTCATTAGGTTGAGAAAACTACTACTTAAAGTGTTTGTCAAATAACTTTTTTGTACATGACCAGTAAGAGACAATGATGGGACAGTACTGGCATCATTATACACTGACTGTGACTATATTTGCATGCAATATTTTTTACGAAAAAAGGGGGACTAAGGCCCTGTCCACACGGAGACGAAACGGGTGTTATCCGCTATAGTTCTTTATCGTATGGACGGTTCGTCCACACGAGGCCGTAACGGAACCACGGAAACGGAGCCCTCAAATTATAACGCATCCCAAAGTGGGAAGATCTGGTAACGTAATGCTTGCGTCACCGTGTGTACGCCCTAAACGATCATAGCCCCGCCTCTCCCCTCCTCTCCTGCTCACCCCCGCGTTATTGCTGATGCGTTTCGCCAACAACAACAATGGCGGATCATAGGGTTGCGTTCGTGCTCCAGACGCCACTGACCATGATACAGATGTTATTGCAAAATAGAACTACATGAACTACATGTTGCTAAATCCACCGCGGAGAATAACCAGAAGGGCAACCAGGCAACCATGGCAACCATGCTTGGGGGGTCTTCTTTGCTGTTTTTGGTGTATTTTGTGGCGGAAGTACCACTTACAGGCCCGGCATATGTACTACAGCGCCTCCAGCGCGTGGACGGACACGTTTCTTGAGCCGATTCCGTGTGGACGGAAGACTTTTTTGATATCGACATCGGTTCGTTGCAATTTTCGTCTCCATGTGGACGGGGCCTAAAATTAGATCAAATTCTTTACCTAAACCTCTAGTTTCAAAGAGACAAAATTATAGATGTATAATTTTTTTGTTGCCATGCACCAGTTTAGGGTCCTGTGTGCTTTATCAGGACGACAGCGAGTGCACACAGTGAGCCCTGTCTGAAGACTTAACAAAACGTTACATAATTATATGACAAAGATCAATTAGCCAACTGAAAATGACTCAAACAGGATGAGGTAGAGAAAAAATCTATTAAACTAACAAGGACTTTTGACATTGAACTAAGACTAATAGAAAATGGCAAAAAAATAACACTAGAACACAAGCCTTTAAATCCTAGTTTTTACTGGATCAACAAGCCTAAAAAATAACTGTAATGAAGTATTATTAAGAGAAATCTGGATCCTTGAGTGTTTGTTGTGTCTGTTCTCAGGTCGGCCCTGAATTCTCCTAAGAGGACGCCGACAGCCCGGCCCGGCAGAGACAGATTCACAGCAGAGTCCTACACAGTGCTGGGTGAGAGTGCGCACTGTTGACAGAAGTGGCTAAAACACACATCACACTGGAGTTTTAGCACTACAGATATTTGAGACCAAGCCGCAGCATAAATTATTTACTGTTTGACCTCAGCTGGTGAAACCAACCAACATTACATTTGGTTTTTTACTAATTAGTGAAGACTGGAAAATGCATCTAGATCTGCTGAGTTTGTCAGATAGCTTGCCTGTTACATTACCCAGTGACCAAGGCAAGCTAGTTGACCAGCCTGCTTGACTTCTGTAATGAATGTAATGCTTCTGAGTAGGAGAAACAGTTATTATCATTCATATAGTTTATCCACGTTTAAACCACTCTCTGCCCACTTACAATTACACACTTGATATCCTTGTCAGGGTTCCCACATTTCCTGGAAAACCTAAAAAACAGTTGAACAATTTTACATTAATTGAAGACATGTAAAATGAGAGCGAAGTGATTTTTCTTTGGAAATGTTGTTCATTATAAACACATTTCATGATTTACATTTGATGGTTCTCGAGTGAAACTGCAAACATTTTAGTGTAATGTTCTCTTCCCAAAGTAGATGAACTATTAACACAACATGTAACCACACCTCTCAGTCAACCCATCAGACTGTGTTTATACTGCATGTCTAAGAATTATCTGGGCTTATTCCTCATGACAGCTGACACCTCCATCGACGCCGGCCAGCACTACTGGGAGGTGCGGTTTGACAAGGAGAGCAAAGCCTTCGCTGTGGGCGTGGCCCTGCGGAGCCTCGGACGCTTCGACCAGCTGGGGAAGAGCAGCGCGTCCTGGTGCATCCACCTGAACAACTGGCTTCAGCAGAGCCTCACCGCCAAGCACAACAACAAGGCCCGCACGCTGGACTGCGCCATCCCCGACCGCATCGGAGTCTACGTCAACTACGACGAAGGTGCGATAAATATTGTTAGAAAAACATCACTCGTCACCGGCTTGAGCTTCAATATCAGGATACATGTATTTATTATCATTGCAAGAGTGGAAGTAGTCATCACATACAGAGCATATGGTACAACTAGTTCTACGACTAGTGTCCTTCACATGCTCATATACAAGAGAGGGAGTTACACAGTCACAAGATGCAGGAATACCGGTTCAAAGCAGTATACAATGTTTTGTTCAGATTAGCTAAAGCCCACGTCAGAAATGATCATGCTTGTCATATGTCATATATCTCCATAGAGGCTGAATGATCATGTTAATCGTTGTCACATAGCTATCATATGCCTAAAACAGTCCTGATGCTCTTTTAGATAATCATACATCCTGTTACGTACACAGCTACGTAGGGCCTTTGTTATCATGTGCTACTCTGATATTGGAAGAGTACATTCAGTATTTTTACAACAAACACAAAGGGTCAATGTTGACATTTGAACAGATATACATTTACTGTAGGTTGAGAAGTTTTCCCCCACAAATAAATACGCTAATGTTTATCATTAATGAAAAGATTTGTTGCAAACGCTAAGATCTACATAGTTTATTTTGAGTGGCAGTAATCAATTAAGTGAGTGCAAAATAGGACCTTTTTAAATATTTGTCTTTAGTGCAGAAACATTAGATTTGATTTGTCAATTGACACTAAGCTCAATATCCTGCAAAAATGGTTGAGAAGCCATGGTTTCATCTTTGAAAATGTGAGATTTTTAAAATATTATTAATATTTATTCAAACTTTATTTTACCCGTTAAGTCTCTTTAGGATTAGAAAACCCCTTTTGAATAAAAATAATATATATTGATGAAGACAACATTAAAATCAGGCAACAGTGTTTTATATTGTTAAAAAATATGTCTTTGGTTTACAACTCTCGATCGTTCAAGACATAACGTTTTGACATTTTATAGGCTATTTGACTAATTAATACTATTTGAAATATATGAATCAACAAAAAAGACACATACATTTTGGCCTGGCTTTTAGAAATATAGTACCATGTTGGATTTACCTTCATTATTCTCTCCAGGTGTTCTGTCGTTCTACAACTCCAAAACTAAACAGCTGATGCACACCTTCAAAACCAAGTTCCCGCAGCCTGTTATACCAGCTTTCATGGTGAGAAACGTTCTTACAAAAGTACTTAAATACATCTTTAATCCTCTATATTGTTCCACCACCTGATTTGTTTTAACCTTCCTCTTGCTGTGGTGCCTGCAGGTGTGGAACGGCACGTTCTCGGTGCTGACGGGCATGCAGGTTCCCAGCCTGGTGCAGAGCGGCCAGCGGAGGAACAGCAACACCAGCAGCTCCAACGCCAGCCTCACCTAGACCCCCCCCCCCCCCCCCACTTTATCCTGCTGGACGCTCTGCTTTAACACAGTCACCGCTGCAGAACATCGCCTCAGCCCTGGCTGGGGTCCAAGCCTCATATCATAGAAGAGTTACATCACTGGATGGTTCAACCTGTTCCAGCGTAACAACGAAAATGGTTTTGGCAAGAAGTGAGTCATCTGCCAGTGACAGAGCTCTTCAGGTGTATGACTGCGGCTGGTGTTGTTGCTTGAGACACATTAGCTGAACTAGTTTTTCTTCTCTCTACACATCATTTAGCACTGTCCCACTGCTGCTAGAGCAAAGATTTAGCGCTGGCCGCTGCCCTTCCTTCCTTGCCATCATCAGAAACTGTCAGAAGTACTGTCGATGCAGCTCTCCCTGTGCCTTCCTTCTCATTTCCAAATCGGGTGATGCTTTGATATATTTCAATGCGAGAAATCTCTCTATTTCCAGTTAAAAGAACGTGTTGTGTCAGTGTCATTATAACCTGGTTGTAACGTAGCTTAGTGGTAATCAATCTGCCATCAGCCAACCTATTTAACCCAAATAACCGGCTCCTAGACAATGCTAGTGATATAATGTAGTTTATTTAACCAGGTTTTAATCAAACTCTACTCTGCCACTTACGGATCATCAAGAAATACTTCACTTCCAAAAAGATAACTTTTACATCAATTATTCCCCCCGTGCTACATTGAATTCTTGAAGAAAACATTGTGTTTCTTGCATGCCTCCACAGTGAAATAAGAATCCAAAAACAGGGAGAAGTCTTAATGCATGACTTTATAAAGAGTCTTACACTTGCACAGACTTGCTGCTCTATGTGCAAGTCCTTTATATGTGGAAGAGTTTGAAATACTAATGATTTAAAAGAAGAAAAATCATATGTAGGGAGGTCGTGAGCATACGACTACACAAATCTGACTTTAATTATGCTGCACTGGTTGTGTTAGAGTTTGTAAACGTATTGCAGCGACAAAATTACAAGGAAATCAAACAGAAAATCTACTCAAAATGTAAACCGCTGTTGAGGCACTAGTTACCAAACCTTATGCAGGGAAAAGGATCCAAAGGCAGGAACGTCATTTATGCAGTTTATTCCAATCAACAATGATTTTCCTATATTCTTGCCCTGTGCCTTTCCTCTGGCATTCCTTGTCTTACCCTGGTAAAAAACCATTTGCCCTTGCTGGTGTGCTGATCCCACCACCACCTGTATCCAATATATACATAACCAGCATGTGCCAAAATCACCCAGTGCCCAAAACTGCCTTTAAAATAAAGGCATAAACAACGATGTCAATCAACTTATATTACACTAGATAAAAGGTATATTTACCACAAAGAAAAACAGCAAGAAAATAACTGTTTTCCATTGAAATAATGTAAATCAATGAAGGGCTCCAAATCATATGTATCTAAATATTTTTGCTGTTATTGAATTTCAGAAAATATTCAGTTTTTGGATTCTTCGGTGTCTTTGGGGGCATGCGGGTAAATGAAGGATTTGTTGAAGAATTCAAGAGAAAATGGGATGAGTAATTTGGCAGGGCAGTATTCTTTTAGTACAACACATATTCCAAACTTTATATTTTACCTCTCGCTAATGCATGCAGACTTAACAGCGTTTACTGCATTTTACTTATTTTGGTCAGGTCCCACTCTGTCATTTAGCCTCCTGCTGAGGTTCTGTTTTAATTCAGAGTCGATGTTTGCTGTGAGTTTAATCTTTCAGCGAGACTGCACAGAAAGTTAAAAGTGAGTTTTAGTCAGTGCACCTCAGATATCCAGGATTTTGGAAACAACTGTACTGTATTCATCCTATTCACCTCACTGCACACTAATGCTTGTTTGTACAGTATGATTGTGTCTAAAAACACCACTGTTTGCTGAAAAGGAATCCCATTATGAGTAGTGGACTGCCCTGTAATCCAAATATAACAAATAGCTAGCAAGTAGCCTCAGCTAACAAAATGTATTGAGAGTTAGTCAGGATGAGAAACAAAAGTGTTTAATTCTGGAAAATGATGTTATGAAGTTCCTATCAGCCCGACCTCTGAGTAGCGTCCACGTCATGTTACAGTCTTGCTTCTCCATGTTGCTCCCGCTGTATGCATCTCCTGAATAACTGTAGCCTGCAATGCTTTAAAGAAAATTATGTTGACTTTATTTCACTCGCTGACACAATGTCACAGTTTATTGTAAATAGTTTTCCACTATAGTGTGTCAGCCATTGAGGTATTAAAGGAGCAAAAGCACTTTGTTCTTGGATTTATGCTTCAACAAGGAATAAAAGAAAGTAAGAAACAGATGTCTGCTTTATTTAACAAAAGCTGGTTGTTACACGGGAAATATAGCAGATACAGAACATCATAAAACTGATTTCTAACTGTTGCATAGCACATACTCAAAGTTGCTGATTCATGTATTTAATATGATGTGACAGTTTTACAATTGCCTTCAATAGTCACACTAGCCCCCCAACTCTTCTTCATTCACAGTTGACTGTAAAGAGAGGCAGCAATACATTTGTTTGACTATATTTGTACATTAGCTATGTACAAATATATACAATACAATTCAAAAGTTGATTACTCAATAAAACAATAATATACAGTCTGATGGGGGGAAAACGGACAGTCAGTGGTAAATGTGCAAAATGCACAAGAGAAACAGGGTGTGGATAATGTGACAGGTACACCCCTCGTTACAGCTGATTCATTTGCTAATGAGTGTCTTAGACGGGTGAATCAATAAAGTGTTAATCTTCGGAGAGGCTTTGCTGCCGACAGCCAGCTGACGAGGAGGAGCAGAGTCACGATGAAGAGGAGGAAGGAGCTTGTTTGTGTGGAAGCAGCTGCTCTACACACTCCCATGTGTTGGGGGAACAGACTGGTGAGGGGTGTGTTCTGGTTTGAGTCACTGGTGGTGGTGGGTTTCACAGACGCTTTGAGAGGATCCCACCAGGAGAGGTCACTCTTGACACCTGACCTTCTGTTCCAGCCTTAGTTTCAGCTCAGACATGGCAGCAAAAGGAACTAGAGGAAAATAAAACATAAGCGTTTTATATTATTGGCAATTAAGTTAAAGGACACATGACAGCAGATCATGAATTTACTCTGAGATGATATCTTCACACGTTAAGATCTAAAGAAAGCCTTCAGCTTCTTGGAGGTTCGGAACATGTTTAGCTTTAACTCAAATGTTTTTAAGGCATATGCTTGCATTTGAAAACAACTTTTGATAAATGCTTGATTTCCCCCAAAACTCAGTTTTTTATCTTCATAATAAAACTTGTAAACCAAAACACTAATATACTGAATTTAACAAACGACAACAAACTGTAATCCTAAATGAAAAAGTAAAAGAGTTGACGTGGGCATTAAACATTTCTAATGAAAATGATCTCCCCGGATAATGTGATATTGTTGATATTGTATGCTCTTAGTTGATTGTTGATTGCAGTCATAGTTGTTGCATTCAAACACTATTTCATAGATAAATACTCTGTTGATATCTTGCTTTGGAAATGAGCATCATTAGATAACCTCAAAGTTAAAATGAATAGTTGGTCAAATACTGTAGTGATAAAGTGATAGCATACATTGATTTTGTGGGTATAATCACATTGTATTTGTATTTTGTGTCTCTACTGTGACATGTCTCCATGCTTTAATGTTCAAAAAGCTCTTTATTTTTCTCATACTGCCTGTGCTGCTGCTCCTCTTGTCACCCTCTGTCTGAGCCCAGTCTGCTCTGATTGGTTGGCTGGCTAGCTCGGCCAACCGCTTAGAGTAGTCCCGCTTCTTAGCCTATCAAGTACAATGTGTTGGAGCGCTAGCCAACAGAAGCGCGAGCGTAACATTAAGTCTTTAAGTTACACACCCTCTGGAACGCTCTCCCTGCGGAGATCCGCAACATCCCCACGCTCAACGCCTTCAAAAGGGCCCTCAAGACCCATCTGCTCACCAAGGCCTTTGGCCCCTAATCTATTTGTTGTTTTTGTCTGTCTGACTGGTTGTCTGATTGCCTTTTATTTTGTTATGTTTGTTTTGCCCTGTTCTTCCTTTTAAAGCGACCTTGGGTCCCATGAAAGGCGCTATATAAATCTAAGCTATTATTATTATTATTACAGAAGTAAATCGAGGAGTCCAACAATGGATATGTTTCAGGGTGTGGGAGAGAAACTCACTACACTAAAGGGAAAACCCCAAGAATGATAATAGGGCCCCTTTAAGTTTTAAACGTTCTCCTCCCCGATTGGTTCTGGCTCTGGTTCAGGGGTTGGTTTTCTTAGAGCGACTGAGAAGAAGCCATGTAACCCCAAAAATGATATTAGGGCCCCTTACGTTTCTTAGAAAGCACTTGCATGTTACTCCTGATAGCTGTAATACCCAGAGTCTGTACATACTCTGTCCGGTGGGCTCTGTGAGTCTCCTCATCCTCAGATCCCGGCTGTTTGATGAGGAGGGATGGGAGATCTGTGCGGCGGAAGCACTTGACTTCAGAGTGCTGCTTGTAGAGGAGGAAGAGGAGGTGGAAGATGAAGCTGTGCTCAGCATGCGAGGAGCAGGAGTTGGATTTGGAGGCATAATTGCTTTCCTCGTAGCTTTTTTCTCCGGTTCTGAGGAAGACCAAAAACATACAATGATTTACGCTCTTAGGAAAAAAAGAGTCATGAAATGGAAAATTGTATTTGCTTAGTCTTCCCTCTGTCTTCTTTATCAGTTCCACACTAAGGCATACAGACATTTCCACTACATAACTACCCTTAGAAACAAGATTACTATAACACATTTCTTTGTTTTGTCTTGTTTGATTTCATTATTCTGCTTTGTCTATATTGTTGTTTTTGTCTGTTCCTTTGTTTTGTAGAATGTGTGTAACAACCAGTCTATGGTAACAACCCCTGTTTTGTTTACATTGACCCAGAAAAAAAGAAAGAGGAAAAAAGCTGTGAGTTTCCGAGATGGAAATATAAGAAGAGGAAACACTTACGTGGGAGTGGAACGGCTGAGGAATCCTCCGACTCTGTTTCTTTCTCCTCCGCTGTTTGAACACAGATGTGAGTTAGTGATAGCAATGGAAAAAATGAAGTCGTACCTGTTTTATGTTTGCACGACAGAAGGGCAAATGCAGGAGGGGTAGAAGCAGTGATTGATGTGGCAGAAGAGTTAGACTCACGTTGGTCATTCAGATAAACGTTCTCCTCCTCGATTGGTTCTGGCTCTGGTTTTCTTAGAGACACTGAGAAGGAGACATGTAATTATAATTATTACAGGGGGATTAGGTAAAAAACAAGGCACAACAACAGGTGCCGTCACAGTACACTTGAGAGACAGACCGAGGCTTTATGCTGGTTTAAAAATAGATCATGTACAGCACAGTATGTTCAGTTTACTAAAGGTTAACGTTAGGATATGGATGACAATGTTGATCATATCTTATCTTTACAATGACATGAATACCTGTAGTCTATTGGAAGGATTGCCTTTGAATTTTGTATAGACGTTAATTTTCCTCAAAAGATGATTTCCACCAACTTTAGCAGTCCTCTGGGCTTCAAATATGTTGTTTTAAGTGAAATAGTTCAATAATGGTTTTCTATTAACACACTGTAATGGAAACTTCTGGAGCAATGGAGTCGAAACACAGTGAGTTCACTTGATGTCAAACACTGATGGTTTATTACGAAGTTACGGCCGGAGAATTGAAAAAGACATGTGCTGCAGCCACGAGTTGACACAGCGGTTGCCAAACCAATTCTGAAGATCTCTTCCGTAGTCGGAGGTTTTAACAAAGTGTATAATCAACATTCTTCATTAGCAGGATTAAACAAACAGGGCACTAAATCTAATTAAAACTGTCGTCCATGGTCCAAGAATGTACGCCAGTGGGACCTACGCACCCGATATGAAGGAATCTAAACAATAAACTATTTCAGGTCAGCTTGTGAACCGGCAACAAGGAGCCAGAACTGCTCCTCCTTAAGGGAGAGAGATAGCAGCAATATCCCGAGGCCGTGTGCAAGGAGAAAGTGATGGAATGGGTTAAAGGTTTGATACCGAAGCTAAATATTCCCCAACAACTACCAGTGGTGGAAAGAAACTAAGTATATTTACTCAAGTACAACAACAACAACAACAACAACAACAACAATAAATCCAGTAAAGAAAATGGTCTCCATATTGACAAACAACATATTTGCTATTACTTACTAATAGAACAATATAATATTCTTAAATAATATAATACTTTCAAAAGAGCCATTGTGAATAATGGGTACTTTACTTGTTAATTTATTGAACAAACAGAATAAAAAAATATAAACAATAATAAATAAATAGAAGCAAAATAACAAAATACTTAACAAGGTATACAAATAAATACTCAAATAGTTTCCTTCGTTTCCATTTACTTTTACTATTATTGGAGTATTTTCAGACCCAAGTATTTCTACTTTTACTTGGATTAAGGATCTGAGTACTTCATCCACCTCTGTTCACTACTCACAGGATAAGTTAAAGTCCCTGAGTTTGAAGGTAGTGCCATTATCAGGTCAAAAATGTGTAGCTCAAACATTTCCACTTAACAAGGCATTCCTTCCTCTCAACTGCCACTAACATGGTGAAATAAAGGCTCAAAGAAAAGGACTTGTTTACTTCTGCTTGTGTAGCGTTCAAAGCTAAAACAATCTCTGTAGAGGAATTGCTACGTGCTGCACAAAGGCTGTAAAACAAACAGAGAATGAGTGATTGGGTTGGCGTGGGTGAGTGGACTCACAAAGCAAATAAACCATTTCTGGAAAACATCGTTGTTATCAGAATCAGAAAGCCTGTATTAGTCCCGCAGCGAGGAAATAACAGCGTTACAGTAAATATTACTTAGCAGATAAGAGGCGAACCATAAGAAAGAGTAAGCTAACATATTACATATAGAGAAAAAGCACTCTTTAGTAATAGAACAAAGACAAATGAGTACACATCCATGGCTAAAAACGTATGGCAGCATTTTGAAAGTTAAGTGAATATATAAAAGTTTGGAGACTTTATAAAAATGTCGGGCCTTATGAAATACATACTCGTGATCATGCACAGAAGAATTGCATAAAAGTGTTTATATTGCTAACTGCAGGTTTATTGCACAGGATTGCCATGGATACAAATCACTGTTGCTTTATTCCTACAAGGTACATGTTTATAATATAAAATACAAAATGAAAAAGTGTATTTATTTGTTTTAATTGTTGTTGAAATGGTTGGTATTCTCATATAAGTCTCTACTCAAAGTCATGTTCTGTGTCACTGTAACTCGTTGGAATCAAGATTATTTGTAGAGTATGCACAACATACCAGGACCGAAGCAAACAGGTGCAAATATTAAAGTGTGTTGACGTGAAGGTATTTGTGTTTGTGTGTGTTTTTGTTGATGGACACATTACCTGGTTTGGGGGGTACACTCGGTGGGACCAGGTTTGCCGGGGCCTGCCGAACGCTAATCTCTCCATTTTCATTATCAGACTGAATATAGGCTGTAAAAAGCCAAACTTAAATTAGTCATGTATACATTTGAGTAAATGTTCATGCTTTGGGGGCATTTATATTCGCATAGCTTAACAGGTGACCTTAAATATAAAGTGAGTTAAAAAAATGAGAAGAATAAGTAGGGTGAAAAACAAAATGAATACAAAAGTGTCTTGGCTTTTGTACGTACAGATTCTTTGTTCGTAGGCTTCCTCGATGATGAGAGGAATCAAAACGCCGTCCGTTGTTTCCACTAAATAGTTGATCACATCATGAAGTGTGGCACAGGGGATCTGCACAGAGGAACACTTTTATTTAACAAATCTAAGAAGAATAAAATACACACAATAATTAAAGCAGGCTGTGTTTTGCTCGGCTCAACCACAATCACTCCAATAAGAATATAATATAATTAATTACTGATTATGTCATTAGAAAATCACGAGGAACTATGTTAGATGAATGCTGGAACATCTTTCTCATACACACACACACACACACACACACACACACACACACACACACACACACACACACACACACACACACACACACACACACACACACACACACACACACACACACACACACACACACACACACACACACACACACACACACACACACACACACACACAAACACACAACACACACACCACACACACACACACACACACACACACAACAGCACGCACACAGGTGACAGGTGAGTCATGTCAAACACTTCTACAGAGCACAGATCAGAAAAATGTGACTGCCATGACTAAATCATCTGACGTCACTTTTATTGCCGGTAAAATGTCTCACCCTTTCTAGGAGGTCATGTGTTCCAGTAAGTCTGAAAAAACTTCCATCTCTTATCTGAACAATAAAATACTTGCTAACAAGTGCCAGGTTTCATGTGAAGTCGTTTCTCAAGTTGCAGACTGGTAAAGCTCATTTTCAAATATGCAGAAGAACGTATATGCACAGCAGATTTGTATAAAGCAATATAAAGACAATGCCTGTATCATCACCGATAGTCCTATCTGCCTGACACTGCACAGTATAGAACCTTTAACCTTTGCATTTTTGTATACTCACAGGATTGTCAACTTCAATAGCGAAGCCCCCGTCAGCTTTACGATTTATGCGATAGTGTCTGAATACAGAGCTGATGGAGAAAGAGAGGGAGAGGCAATTGTAACGCAGATGAAATCAACAAACATATTGAATAACCATCCAAGACAACAACCACATGTGTGTAGGATCTGTGATTCAAGATATTTAAAAGAAAAAGAGGTTGCTACTGATGGAGAGCAATCCTACACACCAAGTCAAAGCTCAGAGATCCTGAAATTAGCATCTCTATGTAATGAATCAATAATTGAAATGAAGTTCTGAGAAACTGAAAGATGTATACACCCTAGTTATTTTTTGAGTCCTTCTTTAGTATTTAAATGATTTAGTAGCCAGCCTTGAGTGATCATACATGATGTGTGTTTTAGCATGTGTAACAACATCTGTGTTTTCAGTTTATATATATGTGTGTGTGTGTGTGTGTGTGTGTGTGTGTGTGTGTGTGTGTGTGTGTGTGTGTGTGTGTGTGCGTGTGTGTGTGTGTGTGTGTGTGTGTGTGTGTGTGCATGTGCGTGCGTGTGTGCGTGTGTACCCTTCAAGGTCCTGCCTGGTGGTGACAGCGAAGGAGTTAACAATCCTCCCCGGCCTCAGCAGCAAGTTTCCTCTCTTGGATTCTCTCTCGAGCAGCAGCTCTGCCTCCAGACGGGAAACAACATGGTAACAGCTGCAGGATAGCAGAAAACACAGAAATTAGACAAAATCAAACCTTGCTTCACTCAACTAACACTGATTTTTGTAGGTTAAATAAAAACTATACTAGGGTTGAATCCAGACCGTATACAGAGCTTATATATTGGAGAAAGTGTGTATTAACAACCACAAATATCCTGTCTGAGATTCAAGCAGGCAATGACTGAGCTGTCTTTTATTAACCCCTAATCTCGGGGCAATGACTGAGCTGAGCAGATACCACACAGTCAATGCCTTAAAAAAATAAAAACTGCCTTAAATTAAGCTTCATGATGCTGCATTTTTCAGGTGATGTAATATACTTTTTGGAGACATGTATGTACCCATAAGAAATCATTGAATCATCCAGTATATCAGAAAACCCTGGACAGGGGGGCATTGAAACATTTTTGTCTAATTGGTAATCTGTTGTGTGCGTGAAACAACACATTTGTAACAACGCAGAGCCTCAGATGCAGGTTCCTGATGCCTCTAGGCAAGGAATCAATCAAGAATTCTAAAGAAAAAGCTTTTTTTTTTTGTTAGAATACAAATCATTTTATAAGCTTGAATTAAGATCCTCAACCTTTTCTTCCTACTTACAAGTCTGATGCATACAGTAAGGCCTTTTTTGTCCTGTATGCTGTTCAAACTGTAACTTGTTACCTATTCTATTTGTAAAAGTGACAGAATTAAGAAGAGCAGGAAAACCAAAGGCAGGTGATATACTATAGCCATTTAATAATGAAGTAATCCTTTTTGAATTAGCTTTAAATTGCTCCTCTCAAATATGAATGTTGGTTATGGGTTTTGTAACATCATCCCTTTTAGTTTTACCACGTTAGAAATAAAAACAGTATTTCACTCAAACATAAGCATCAATACTTTGGCCTCCTGTTTGTACTCACGCTGGCATCTCTGCCTGCAGGGTGATGTAGGTGCTGGAGTTAATGGCAGCAGCAGCAAGTTTTATTCTTTCCTTTTCCTTTTCTACGGTCTCTTTCAGCATGAGGATCTGGCCCGGAAGCAGGTTGAGGGAGGACGGTACCGACAGCTGCAGGGACATGCACATGAGGAACTGATGTTAACGGGTCATCCTAAACTTGATTCATCAAATATAATCTGTGTTGTTCTTTGTTTCTATAAAGTCAGTTCAACACCACCCACCTCAGCCACAGAGCGGATGAAGCCCTTCCACAGCTCACGGGCCTCAGCATTAGGAGTCTGTAGATCCAACAGAGAAATTGTCAAAATTAGGAATAGCTCAGACAAAAAGAGGCTTATTTAACTATATTTATATATATGTCCTCACAGTGAATTTGATATTTCTATCCTTCATCTGGAGGTTGAGTCTGGCTGCGTCCAGGTTTCGATCCTGGCTGCCGTCGTCTGTTATTGAGATCATCCCACTGAGTTCCACTTTCTCTATGTACTGATGAAACACACACACACAGAGAGAAGGTGACACACAAGTCCACAAGAGTGTTGGATTCATCTTTAATTAACATTCATCCAAATATCTGTCATGTATTAACCCCTAATCTCTGAAATGACTTACATCGCTGTCTCTCTTCTCGTTGAAGAAGAACAGCGTGTTTCCACACAGGCACGCCCACAGTTTCCGAGAAGTCTGCACAAACACAGAGAGAGAGACTTAATGAGCGACTGAAAGATAGTACACCAAGCAGGGAAAACGACATTTGTTTGAGCAAAAACAAAGGGAAAGAAAAATAAAGCTTGTTTTTTTAATACACAGCAAGTAATTAGACATGATGGCCGCAGTCATTTCATTTCAAACCTTTATTTAACCAGGTAGGTCCCATCGAGATCATCGATCTCTTTTTCAAGGGAGACGTCCTGCAGTATGTGCAGGTGACATTGTTGAGGAGTCAAGTTTAACCGCAACAGACGCCAGCGTGTGTTATAACAGCGTTCAGTGTTTGGATTGGATCGTCAGTGTCGTCTGTTTCAGGTCAACCACCAAATCAAAATAACTTAAACTTAGATATGACAGGATTTGGAGGCTCTTTCAGACACAATTCAAGGATCCTAATGTAGGATTATAACATTTTTATTTTCAATTAATCTGCAAATGATCCTCTATATTCATAATAGTTTGGGCTATAAAATGTCAGAGAATGGTGACAAATGTCCATCCCAGTTTCTCCATGCCCAATGTGATGTCTATAAATGTCTCTTTTTGTAAGTCAAAAACCCAAAGATATTCAGATGATTATTATATGAAACAGAGAAAAGCAACTGAAAACAGCTTTTTCTTTTTGCATGAGAACTTACTTATTGAATATTAGTTATCAAATTAGGAGATCATTATGTTTCTGTTGATATGAATGTTAATAACTTTTTTGTTGCAGTGGTATTATTTATAGCACTGAAAAAAACTTTAACTAAAATAAAAGTATATAAAACTGTATACTTGATGAACCAACATCCCTACTTTAATCTGCGACTGGGTTAGTTTTAAAGTGTTCTGAATGCAAAGTAACCCCTCTGATTTAGTATTTAGCTCTCATTGTGATGCATTCACTCTCTTATCAGGGAGGGCTTGGCAGGTATTTTCAGAGCCTGCCTTGCCAGTTAGTGTCTATACTTTTCTTTCAGTTCCCGGGCTTGCTCCATCTTTATGGCACAATGAGCAGAATTGCTGTCAGACCAGTTGAGAGACGCAGATGCTGTCAAAGTCTACACAGTTTACAAGAATCTATATGAGAGGCGGCTCCACCTATGTTACACATGATCTGACATGGTTTGTTGTTAGACCTCTGCACACACAGTCTTTCAAAGGGTTAATAAAGCATCAAAATCAATCACACTGCAGGTTTTTGTTAATAAGCACCAATTAGATAGGTAAACCGTCTATAATACTGATGTAAAGTAAAATACAGCTCCTCTGCACAACCACACGGATTAATGTGTTAATAAACACACAATCTAAAAAAAAGAAAGACTTCTTTGTTATGTTTCGAAAGTCTGAGTCATGCAGCGCTGGAATGACCCAAACGTTGACAGGAATGGCAGATACCTGCACATTGTTGGGATGCCAGTCATTCACATCTTTGTCTCTCTCTAACATTTGTGTAATAAGAGACACACACATATACACACACACACACGCACAGAGATACACTGAGCTAGATGCACACAGGCATAGGACATACACAGTCTTACATGCGTACCTATTTGAGGACATGTATGTGTCAATAATAATTGATCAACGACAATAAATTCTTTGTTTTAGTTGTTTTGCAAATGTGAGGATTTGTTGTTTTGCTGGATGCTAAATATCTGTTTCATATAGCGTCGGTCTGATGAAGCAAGACATCTTCAACTTGTGCTTCAGGAATTTGCAGAGGATATTTTTCACAATTTGCTGAATGCTATAACTATTGATAATTTAACTGAAAAAATAAATCAACAGATACATCTACAATAAAACAATAAAATAGGGATAGCGCACATACAGTCACTTAAGGGTATAATCTAAAGCCTTAACACCTAATCTTTGGTAAACATCTTAAAGCTGGTTCTGATTACTTCTTTTTTCCTGTGACGCATTATGATAACACAGATTAAAAAGCCTGAAAGCTACAGATAACCAGCGGTGGAATTACATTTTACAAGGTCAAGGTTGTGCAGCTTTATACACACAACAATATCTCAACGGTATTTATTTTCTGCACAACATTTGTGCGACGGCTTTGGGTACTATATATTTTTTAAGTTTGAGATACACCAAAGGATACAGTGTTTCCTTTATGTGTTGAGAACATGCTTCTACTTTTTTTATTTTGGATCATCTGAAAAATGCATCTTTACAAATCTGACCTCATGTCGAATAAATGTTTCAGGAGAAACAAAAAGCAGGACGCTACAAGCATATTATGATGATGTATTGCTATATAGATTAAACTACAAAACAGTTAATGAGAATATTAATGCAACAGTAATACAATATGCAAAATCATCAAATGGGCTATAATAGAAATTCACAGGGAACATTTTACTACAGAATACATTTAGCTGATAATACTAACATCATTGTACTTAAGGATTCCAATGAAGGACTTTCACTTATAATGGGGTCTTCATATACTCAAAGTGTGGTATTAGTACTTTGGCTGGAATATAGGATTTGAATACTTCCTCCACCAGTGCAGATAACCATCAAAACAAAAAGTAATAATAAAACAAGCAGTCCGTTTCCGTTTCAACCTGTTGCATTCAACAAAGACAACCTTGTCTCATGGAGTTAGCACAGAAAAACAAAAACAACTGTTACCTTATCTTTGAACGACCTCTTCTCCAGGTATCCCTGATAGTAACAGGTGGGCTGACTGCTCTCTCGCGCGGTTTGCCTCGCCATCATTTTAATGTCTATAAAAATAACTTATTTACAGTTTTGAAGTGAAGGAGACTTCCACTTTAACATATCAGCAGCTTCTGCCTGCTCGTAGGAAAGCTCTCGTATTATTGAAGTCATACCTGCGCGTCAGGAAGACAGGTGGTGGTGTCCTCACCGCTGATTGGTCAATATATGGAGCGGGCGGGGCATTTAAGTCTATCCACAGGTGGGGCTGCTTCTAAAAGTAGACCTATTTTGCAAATTTGGAAATAACCTGCCTGCGGGCTTTACATAAACTAAAACATGTAGGCCCTTTGTATCCTCCTCTTGTATTCACATATTTGAATAATATCCATCTCATGAAATGACTAACTTAGCTAGCTGAGTCAGACTAAATTGGAATTCATTTACTCAAAGACATATTGCGCAAGTGTGTTTTCCCACAACATGTCTGATTCTGGCCTGGGGCCTATACTACGAAGCTGGTTCAACCCAGAGCCATATAATAGAAGAGTTATGACAACGGAAGTCCAAAAACGGTTATCGTCACGTGGTTCATGTAGACGAGGATCGTTCCCCGGAAGTTCATGGCGGGCAATGTGAATGCATTGATAACAGGAGATAGATCTACGATTTGTTGGTAATTATTAGTGAATAAAGGTTTTGATTTGCAATATTTATACAACAAATCGATATGTGTATGTATTTACATCAATATGTTTTAAAAAATAAAATAGAATTTGCTAATATTAAGTGATAATATTAGGATTAGTGTGAACAACTAGTTTACATGTTAGGCTAACAGTGCCTTGGTTAAAGAGCCTGTTGCTGTTTATTTATAGCTTTGAATTCTTTAAAACCAATATTATCTTCTTAAACTTGTATGGTAGTCAGGAGCATCACTTTCTAATGTTTATTGATATATTTAGAGGGAGGGGATCTAAAGTAATGCTTTAAAATTCAGATTAGATTCATGTCTACCATTTTCTTAAATTAGTAGTTTCAGTAACCATGGTAATTGAGGACACAAGTTATCTAAATGACTAATGTCTTCTTTATGGCTTTCAGAAAGGACAGGAGACCGACAGGTGACTATCAAAGGACTAGCAGCAGCAGCATGATGATGATGATGATGTTAAATGTGTTGTTTTAGGAACATCCATTGCAAATACATGGAATTCAATAAACATTGAATAGCATATCATGCAGTTTGTCTGTGCCTTTTCCTCCGTGTTGTCCTGGTGTGCTGTGCTGCCTCCTAGTCGCCACCATGTTTTGCTGTGCTGCCTGGGGATGCTCCAATCGCTCAGAGAAAGGAGTACGAATGTACGGCTTCCCCACTGACACAGAGCGGAGGAAGCAGGAGCAATTTCACGACCAACAGCAAAAAAATATGTGATTTATATACAAACACTGCATTTGCACTTTTTCACAAAACGAAAACCACACCATTGGGAAAGCTTAATGTTTTGTTTAATACAAAAAACAGGGAAAGGCTTGAAAAACAGTGAGAGTTGAGACTCAGGGTGCAGGGTGAGGGTCTCAGTGCAGGTATTCAGGCTCCATTGAATCCCCCTCTGGTTCTTGTGCTGAAAGAGGGAGTAACAGACAGGAGAAAGGGTAATACACACCTATATAGCACACCTATTGGATGGGAAATTGCCTTGGGGAGATAAGGTGTGGTCTTTGTTCCCAACTGAAGTTATGGAACTTTATTATTTGTGAGTTTAACAAAGTATGACATGGCATCAGTAACAGATGTGATATGCATTTCTATAAAGTTGTCTCACATTCTTGGTCATATTGTATATACAGTATGTAATGAGTATAACATGTCCAGTAAGTATAAAGTGTTTCCTAATACTGTGTATTCAACCACTATGGAATATGTATGTGGGCAGACAAGATTCAGACACAGTTGTTCTGTGTGTGAAGTAACCTCAAGTCACTCCGCAGGCACATTTTGATGCAGACCAGTTTGTCAAGACAAAAAAGGGCAAGACTAGGCTGAGAGCAGAGCTATACCCACCATCTTCGTGCATCGCCCTGTGGTCAAAAAGAGAAGGGCCCCTGCACCACGATTCACCCCGGGACCTGTATCTACAAAGCCCATAGCTCATGATCACAGCTATAGTGTGAAAGGTGACACAGGTATAATAAGTATGAACTCTTAGTAACAAAAGTAATATTTCTTATTTTTAAGTGGTATAATATTTTAAATGTTCGAACATTTACAGTGCCATGTCTTCTACTTACATTAGTCTCAAAGATTGAGGGAAGAAGGGAAGGGATCACTGCCCTCCACCTGCCAGAGGAGCGCAAACAACAAAAACAAGCAAGGTGTCCCGTCATGTACCTGGAAGTTTGGGTTGGCAAAATGGAGTAAGAGAGGGACTTGAAAAACCTTGGTGGCTGTCTACTCATGTTGTTACAGTTGTCTTGGTTACAGCTCTCAAATTTTTTTGTGCCATTTCCACATCTTTAGAAAATATGAAAAAATTGAAGTGAAATCAACCTCATCTCTGGAGAACAAACTTTGATTTCTCTGTCTTGTGAGTTTGCAGTCTTGCTCCTCCACCTGTAACATCACTGCCCCTCCACCTGCCATACAGTAGGTTACTAACAAGATTACTTATATAATACAGTGATATAATACATGTTTAGTATGCTTACTTATATAAAACAGTAGTATTAAACTTACCTTGTGTTTTCACTCTCACTTAAGTCCCTCTCCCTTTGCCATCAATCCAAAATCAGCTGAGCTGCAACATTATACAGGCAGGTAATAATCAACATAATCACAAGGACACAATATGGCTCTGCTAAAAACACTCACTCTTACACGCACCAAAGTTATATTTATCTAATATTTAACTCCCTCCACCCCCGCATACAATCCCGTTTAGAAGCCCCTCTTCTCTAATTCAACAACGTTGGACGAAATAGACATTAAGAGAACGGAATTTACAATTAAAAGGCTGTTCAACGTGTGTTGCTAACTTGCTTCGGTATCCTAGCTTGATCTGTTATCTGTAAACGTTCCCTAAATCTACTAATTTAGGGATAATCCACTGACATCCTTTAATACACATGTTCAATTGAATCAGATGTACTGATAATATCCGCAATATAAATCTTTAAACTTCTTCTTACCTTTAAAAGTCCGTCACGAACGGTCTATTATGCTGCAACTCCACAGCTCTGCTCGCCTTGGCGCTAACTTCCGGGGAACGATTGAGAGGCTCCACGATCCGCCATTGTTGTAAAAAAGTGGTCCATTGGAGTGAACGGAGATGTCATAACTCTTCTATTATATGGCTCTGGTTCAACCTAACCTGGATATGTTTGAGTTAGCCGGTTGGCCTAATCAAAAACATACGCGCTTTCGCTAAACTGTACTACGACGCTGGTTATCAAGTGGATCGCTCAAGCCAGCCGTTTCCTATCTAGTTAGGTGCGCGTTCACATGAAATGGGTGGTAGCATTCGACCAATCACAAACATGGAGAAGCATACTGACAGCGCAGCGTATACTTCCTGAATGAAAAGTCAACTATAATATTAGACATATGAAGAAGTTAAACTTTAAACATTCATGACTTAAACACTTGATCCAGGATCAAAGCCACATAGCTGCACCTGCAAGGTGAATACAGCTGGCAAAAGAAAAAGTGTTTGAATGCGTACATTAACAGGTTTATGATATCACTGCCCCGTCTAAAACACGATCTGACTTTCATTACATTTGTCTCGAGTGTTTCGTCAACTTAATGTGTTGCTTAAAATAATACTTCTGCATACAGTAGCCTATGTGACACTGTGAGTGTTGCACGGCCAGATACGGCTCAGCTGACTCAGATAAGGAGATATATGATACTACATTATGATGTGATATGATCTGATATGAATGATAATGGGACACATCGACGTCTGCACTCAGTGTACTTATGTTGTGGCAGATATTTAAGTAAGCTTTCTTAACGCTGATGTTATAATAGTCAGATTGCTCTGAAGATGGGAGATGATATTCTATTAATGTTCACGTTCACACAGTCGGTGATTTTTGCCGGCCGTCTTTCCTGCAACGGCAGCTTTTCTGTATTTCCTTTCTCCTGTAATATGACTTGATCGCTTTAAACTCCGCACACTGAGCTCTGATTGGTCAGCAGGCAGTGCTTTCACTGAGTTGAGTTTAGCCTGCAACCTAACCTGGTTCCGACCAGGTTAGCCGCTAAACATAAATTACCATGGAGATCTAGCCTGCTAAAAAGAGAACCAGCTTCGTAGGACCGGAAAGCCGGAGTTTTCCCTGAATTTAGCCGGCTAAGCGAAAATCCTGCTTCGTAGTATACCCCCCTGGTCTCTGTTAAACCAGAGATGTTCAATTGTTTGCATATTATAAATAAGCAATATCTTTTTATTTAACTTGTTATTATTGCTTGTGATTGTTAACTTGTTGTTAACAATCAACTAAGATTTAAGTAAATTGTATCTTATCTAATAAAATGCAAGGTAACAGCAGAGTCATTCGAGGTTGTTATTGCAGTGTTGTTTGTTTGTATGCGAGCAATGCAGTTCATCTAGCGTGATACGTTAAGTACAGGAAGTAATATTCTGAGCTTCATGTACTTTACTTAGTATTTTCCTTTTCTGCCAGTCATCTCAGTGAGGCATATTGCACTATTTTCTGTAATACATGTATCTCACAGCTTTAGTTACTTTGCTGATTCAGAAAAATATAAATCAACTAATTATTTATAATGATATGATAATGATAGTTTAAACTATCCATCAATTTCTAGTGTAATTAAAAGCTCCACCTTTACAAGCTACAACATTAAAGTAAGTGTAAATGTTATTCTAAAATGGGCCATTCTGTATTATGACTATACCTAGAATATAGTTTTATGTTTATGCCATACTTACTTAATTTGAATATAGCCAAAGAGGCCTCTTTCTTGTTCAAATTCAAATTCAAAACCTTTATTTATCCAGGTAAAATCCCATTGAGATCAATGATCTCTTTTTCAAGGGAGACCTGCAGCAGTAGGTTCCACAAGAAGACATAAACAACAGAACAACAAAAGGACATCATACAGCAAAATGTACAGGGATTACAATTTACATATTTAAC